AGGAACTATTAATTTAACTTAAAATAGCTTCTTGTATTCTTTTATGGTTTAGTTTTATGTGTTCCCAGTTCCCATATTTACACTTGCACACAATACATTAGTTTTAAATTTATAGTTAACCCCAAAATAAAAAATACCTCATCATTTACTCTGCCTTGTGCTGTTTTAAACCTTTAAACAGTAACTTTCTTTCTTCTCTTACACACAAAAGAAGATATTTTGATGAATGTTCGTTCAACTTCCATAGTCGGAAAAAAATACTATGAACCTCAATAGGTGTCAGCTACTAGCATTTAAAAAATATCTTCCTTTGTGTTCAATAGAAGAAGGAAACTCAAATAGGTTTTGAACAAGTGAAGGGTGAGTACATTTTTTTCAGAATTTCATTTTGGTGTGAACTATCCCTTTACCAAAATAGGGTTTATGGCTTGTGTAACAATAACAACCTCCCTTACTTAATAGAACTTTGTTCATGTTTGAATGTGCTCTTTAGGAAATAAAAATGGTGTTTTAAACTTTTTCATAGGTTATTTTCATTTCCACATGAGAAAATATGAGCACAGGGCTACATTTTTGAGAATCAAGAAATATGTAGCCTGGACTTTGTTTTTCGGGCTGTTTTTATTTACATAAATCAACTAGAGGCCACCATATACATTTTTAAAAATCTCAATTACATTGGCATGTTTCTCATATGTGTCGTTTATCATAGATTCACTAGAGGCCACTGTAAACATCACTGCAAATCTAATAATAATGCTATTAAACTACTGTGATGACGGTCAGCCCGCTGGTTTGTCTATTAATAATAAAATTGTTTCCATCTTGGATGTCACGGTGGCGCAGTAGAACAATCGCCTTCCAGCAAGAAGGTCGCTAGTTCTAGCCCTGGCTGGAGCATTTCTGTGTGGAGTTTACATTTTCTCCTCGTGTTTGCATGGGTTTCCTTCTGCTGCTCTGGCTCCCCCAACAGTCCAAAGACATGCGGTATACAGGTGAATTGAATAAGCTAAACTGTCCGTAGTGTATGTGTGTGCAAGAGTGTGTAGACCATTTTGAGGGATGTAAACAATAACAATGGTCTTAACCTATTACCTGTTTTACATTTTTAGTTTCTAAAGCTTCAGAAAATCCAAAAAGGTCAACATATTAATCATATAATATAACATAACATATTAAACATATAATGTTATGGCTGAGCTTTTGTACACAGGACTATTTTCCAAGTGTGTTTTTTGTTTGCTACCATGGTTGTCTACTGTGTCTACCTGTGCTTTGTTAATTTACTCTTTTTTTCTTAAGTTCAGGGCTGGTTATTGCTCATGATAAGAGTGGCTTTCCTCTACATTTGAAGAAGGTCCTGTTTGTTTTATTATTAATTATTTGCTGAAATGTGTCTATTTAATGTATATTGTACACTGTAAATAAAATCCATATTTTATGGTTTATTTCCAGCAGCTGGGGTGCCAAAAAAAACCACATAAAAAATAAAGGCCGTTAAGTTACAAAAATTTAGTATAAACAGACATTAAATTACAGAAATTTCCTTAAATGTACATTTCTGGTAAAGTTCTGTTATTCAACCTCTGTTATTTTACAGTAAGTTTCCGTAATTTAACAGCCGTTAATTTCCATTTTTTTCAAAACCATAAAATTGCTGATTTTTTTTTTACAGTATAGGTTAATTTCCTTCCCATTGTTTGCAACCCTGGCTCATTCTGAAAAAGTATTGCTATATACTTTTCTGGAGTGCACCAAATATGTCCCAGGAGCTAGTTTTTTTTTTGCTTTTTTTGTTTTCGCAATTTCACAAGAGGCCGCTGTGTACGTTTTTTAAGATTTCAAATTTTTCTCGCGAGTGCCATTTGCGCCTGCTGTTCTCATATAAATCCACTAGAGGCTGCTGTCGACTGACTGACTGACTGACTGACTGATTTTACCACTTTCTCGCCCTGTTATTTACTTGTTTATTTTATTTTTTGGCTTCTGTTTTTGTCTACTCTGGTTTCTGGAATTGTTCTTCACTGGACTCGCACCCCGCCATCATGGTCAACTCCTCTCTGTAATCAGTTAGCTGGAATGGCATCATATCGCCACAAATTTTTAAAATGAAATGCCACCATACGTACGTCTGGCTACATAATCTGCGGTCTCCAGAAACGTATATAGGGCTAAATTTTCAGAATGAGCCAATGTTCTCATGGTATAAATATCTATTTATTCACCTACTTGTATAACCAAGTCTTAATAAAGAAACAAACAGATCATATTCATTCTGTCAATATGCATATGTAAACTTTCAAATTAAGGTAAAGAGTGCTGTTACCATTTGGCTCAAAATCTACAAAATGCCTTTGGGTAAATGCCTTTAAGCCATGTAACACTACACAAAACAGAGCAGGTGATAGAGGAGTTAATCAAACAGCCGAGTCAGCTTTGTGAATACACAAGCACAGAGAGGCCTTCTGGGGAAATGACACTGGGAAGGAAATTAGATTCCCGCTGGGTTAACATAGCATCTAGAGTAAGGACACACTCATTTAACTCATGTAGAAAGGATTAATTTCACCAGTTCCTTAAGCTTGCGAATGCTGCATGTGAAAATGAATGAAATACATAGACTGATGACTTATTGATTGAATGATATTGACTTGCTTCCTCATCACTATCAATCAGTCAAACAGAACAATCGTCGCCACATGAGTTTTTAGTGGTATTCTGAATCAGTCATGTATGGAAACAAGATGGTTACCTTGCACTATTGAATCTCAGAAATGCACATTTTTACAGCTAACAGTAAACAAAGTAAAAAAATGATGACAACGGATGACTATATAAGTGTGGTAAAATGTAGAACATCATCAAGCGATTAATAATGCATAATTTTGTTTAAAACAGTTTTACATTTTGTAATCTAAACTTGAAATCTGTCTGCAGCTTCTCATTACTAATTGAATTGTTTACCTCACAGAAGAGAAATAAAGCGGACTTTCACTTTTACAAGGTTACAGAATAAGTGTAATACACTGTTTATCATAAACAGGAAACAAAGGTTATTCAGTGTTTACACAGAGGGTGCTTTATAATGCATAGTTTTTTTGGCAGGTCATTTGACAGCTGAACGCTGCATGTTCAACTTGTTTTTGTTTCCATCTCTGAATCAATAGGTGATCACAGACACTTTAGAAGTATTGTGTATTATGCATGTAGCATGTAGACCTTGGAGTCAGTATGTTCAATATGCAAAGGTGTCCCATTGATTCTTTCAAATTGCAAATAAAGCAATCTATCATAGGGCTCTTCCTAATCGACAGTCAATGTTGATCTCTCCCAGTAATGCTGTCTTGACATCTAGTGCAAAATTAAGTTCAAGGCTGAATGCTGCCCTGTAATATTTTGAGAAGTACAACACAATAATTAGCCTAAAAATGTCAAACAAAATATGCATGGTTTCCTTTTGGAAGGACAAAAGCTGTCTCAATTCAAAGCCCCCTTCAAATGTGGCCTTCAAATGTGTGTTTCTTTCTTTTTCAGGGTAATAAAGGATACAACTGACAGATCCTTTATGGCTCAGAATATCCCAGAATTTATTGTGTGCTGTTTAAAACAGTACATTTCGACTAAAATAAAATAAATAATAAGATTTGTACACACTTTTGAATGTAAGTTTTGCATTTCGGTTAAGTTGGATATCTGTCAATACAGCTGGTAAAAATACAAACAACATATAATATGAAATGATTTTTATGAGATGCAATGGACCCAGGGCTTACAAATTTAGACAGTTTGAACACACTGTTTGTTTTTAGAGAGTTTAAATGTCAGTTTAATAATAATATCTAAAAAGACCAGTATAAAAATGACTGCTTCTCATCAATGGCATTTTGTCTCAAGTTGCTATGCAACAAATCAACCACATGTAGACAATCCTATTTTCCAAAGTAATTCAGTCTGTGGACTTCAGTAGATACACTTTGAATGTCTGTTCTTTATAGGATGCATCCACTAAATTTTAATACAGCTTACATGTTCATATCTTTTTTTCATAGTTACTGATTATGTTGCACACCTGTTTCCAGTTTAGTTTTAATCTATAAGTATTTAATACCTAGAGTCTGTACAGTTGTCACATATTTAAAATAGTTTTATTTTACTTTTATTTTACTTAAAATGTTCTTACATGGCCTGAAATGAAAATAGATGGATGGATTTAAAAATGTATTCATTTTGTCTGTTGTTGATGTTTATCCCCTGTGTTTCATTTTAAAATTAATATATGCATGAATTTTAGAAGTACTGCAAAAGATCCTCTTCTTGTCGTATATGGATCTCTTTGGCATATTAATAAACTTCAAAATCTAAGGCAGATGACAAGGATGACAAGTAGATGTATATGCAAAAAATGTTGTGTCGTATAGGTGTTATCCAAACCGAACCAGCATATTGAGAGACTGAAACTATTTTTTTCAAACTGGGTCCCAGAATGGGTAAATCGGAAAATAAAACCTTGACATTTTTGTGTGTACAGCCAATCTGTACATTTTGCGAAAATATAATGTCATTATAATGTCACATCAGCCCATGTCTCAACCCACTACAATGGTATCAGTCTGGTTCAGTCAGTGTACACAAAGTTGTATTTTGAGATTACTCCATGTTTTCATATAAAAAAGATTGGATAGGGAAAGTGCTGGCTTAGCCTAAAACTGTTTGTTATGGTTAAACAAACATATTTACATCTTCAAAAAAAAAAACAAAAAAAAAACTGTACACCTATTTTATTATTTGATCTAAGAATAAATTTCTTTTCAGCTACATTACTCCAATCTATTATTTGTTGTTGAAAATTTTTGCGAAATATTTTTTTTGCGTAAAATGTTTTATGATTAGTCTCATATGTATGTAATTTTAAAATATTCAAATATTTTTACTCTGTGTCCATTATTTATTGCTGTATAGATATGCATCATGCAACTAAAATCCTGAAGTGCGTCTTTAAAGCAGTATCCTAATGAAAGCGGTTGCCTTGACAGACTGGAGGCTCACAGACCGATTCAAACGCTGTGTGGGTGGGAGAATGACAGCGGCTCTGTTCCTCTTCACCTTGTGCAGGAGGATATTTACACCGGAGAACCCAAACAACACCACACGGACGATGAAACGGTTTTCTGTGTAGAGAAGAAGGCTTACGGTTGCACGGAGGAACATGCGAATAAGAGCGCAAAGACGCATCTGACTGTTCGGGGGTAAGATTGAACCTGTTGTCTGTCTGATGACTGGATCGCTTTTGTCTTAAAATGATGCATGAGCGCTGCTAGATGAATAATGGAAATATGTGCTGCGATAACAAGGCAAGGGACGGTAAATAAAGCAGATATCGATTTTTGTGTACATAATAAGGTTTTCTCCCACGAGTAAAACATTTTGATAAGAAGAAAAGTGATGTGTCCACGGGAAGGCGTGCGTTGATATACAGCTGTTTTTATTAGCCTTGCAGCTAGCGTTGATTAACATATTAGCTAAGTAGATTAGTTTATTTAGCATATTTTGTCCTTATGAAAAGTAAGCTAACCAGAATGTTTAAGGTATTTATTGTAGTTAAACCAATTATATCCACAAATTAACCTTGTTTAATGGCTAAACTAACTATAGTTTATAACCACGGCATTTTTATTAATATGGTTGTACTGAAAATGTAATCAACACTCCAGAATACACGAGTACTCCATTTTTACTACAATAAAACCATGGTTTACAGGTGCAAAAGTTTTCACAGAAACTGCATTTGGAGTGCCTTGCAACTTGTTTTGTAAAATCTCAAATTCTCACACTAATTTCACTTATTAAATTATTATAACATTATTATACACAAATATACAACAATGCATATGGGAATCAGGGTCTTTTAATTTCCTCTCCAATAGTTCATCTGCATTCATCAGCTCTCTGTGTCCTATTAGAAAGCTTTTGAATATTTTATTATATATTTATAAATGTTATTATTGTGTCTTTACTGCTCATCAATAGTAAATAGGAGGAGTCTATAATGATTGACAGGTCTTGACAGTTCAGAAGCAGGTGCTGCTCCTGCCTTGTATTTGCATGTTGACATGCTATATCTTAGTTAAACAACATGAGTCACTGTGATAATACGGACCGCACGACAGCTTGGTGAATATGCTGTTGTACATCTTTGTTTGCTTACAAAGTTAAATGATCGACAGTTGATGATGAACATTTCCAGTTGGTTTATTCACTATTTACACAAAGCAACACGCTCAGACGAGGCACAAAATGTGCCCAGCCGCTCTCTAGTCAGTGACGTAACACTGATATCAAAGATTGCTTTTCTTTTGAAGCAGTCGTGCTCTGCTGGCCCCATCCTCCTTCAAAGACATTGGCAGATTTCCAAGGCGAAAGAAATTTCAATATCATGTGGCATCCTGGCCAAGGCTCTGCTTGCTGGAAGAGGCTGATTTGCATTAGGAAAATAGATTTTCTTTTATTTTTTTTTGAGAGCATCTGACTGTCCTTTCCTAAAATAAACCACACAGAAATGCAATATATCCCTTGACAATACATGAGAGTAGTGATGCACATGCATTCATATGCAAATAGAAATAGAAAAGAATATTACTTTGCAGTATGTAGCCAAAAGTGAAATGTCAAATGGCATGGCTGACTTCACAGACAGTGGCTCGAGGCGGCTCTTCACATGCTGTTATTACATTTCAGTGTTCGGTCACTAGAGCCAATTGGACATCACAGGGTCCTTTCATCTCAGTGAATTATAACAATATAAAAGAGTACAATCAAAAGTTATTATGCCTGTAAAGTGTGTATTGAACTTGATGTCCATCAGAGATGCTTGCAAAAATATAGATAAAACATGCATGGATCCATCCTTAGATATTGTTTATTTGTTGAAGATGTTAAGATTAATATGTGATGATAATTATGTATAAGTAGAGGACATTAATAAACTAATAAAACTATATTAAGAGATATTTTGGCAAAAATGAAAATTTTATTCACAACTCCAAACATTTATGAGTTTCTTTATTCTGTTGAACACAAGATGATTTGTAGAAAGCTGAAAACCTGTAATTATTGAATTACACAGTAGGAAAAACAAATACTACGGAAGTCAGGGGTTACAGTTTTTCAGCTTTCTTTAAAATATTTTGTGTTCAACAGAATAAATAAACTCACTAAGGTTTGGAACAAGCGAAGGGTGAGTAAATGCTGACAGAAGTTTCAGTTTTGGTTGAATTATCCTTTTAAAATAATGTTTAAATACATTTACTTTAAATGCACAACATTTGACATTTTAAATAATTAATGTAATATTGATATACTGAATTTGAAATCTGAAATTTATTTTATTTTAAAAATATCTACTTACACACCAAAAAATTCTTTTTGCTGTTTGTTCAAACTACTTATTTAAAATGAGCTGAAACAACACAATGCTGGAGATTATTTTGGGATAACTTAATTGTTTATGTTCAATCCACTTAAATGTGAAAGTTAACTTTATCAATTTATGTTGGGACATAAATTAATTGTGTGGATCTGCATTTTTTACACTCTACCAAGGCTGTGTTTATTTAAGAAAACATAACTTGATGCTAAAATAGTTTTTCTGGAACATATTTGGAATATTACTATTAAAAAAGGAGCTTATATTATTCTTCCTCACCTGTTTTATAGACTATACACTGTAAAAAATGACTCATTGGATTTGTTAGATTTTTTTGATGGTTGCAAACAATTTATATGGGCTGAATTTAAACAAACTAAATTTAATTTAAGCTTTTTTTTTGTTTAAATTCAGCTTATATGAAATTTTGTAATGAAATTGTAATGTAATCAATTTTGCATTGAACCATTTTTTTCAATGTATGAATCAAGCGTTGGCAAACATAATGAATAATTGATGATATTTAGTCCACCAAGCATGAATAAATAAAGAACACATAAAAACAATTTCACAATATTACAGTTTTTATCATATTGTTGATAACATAAAAGCAGCTGTGGTGAGTATAAGACACTTCTTTCAAAAACATGAACAAATCCTGCTGTTTTCTAACTAGTGGTGTACTTTTCTGGCATACATAACAGAATATTTTTCGTCCTCTTACAGAACAAAATTCTCACGCAGCTAAACCCCTTTCTGAAAGACATCCCAGTCCAAAAGAGGGACTATGGGCTCAAAAGGAGCAGAAAGACGTAAACAGGCCACCCCAGGCCAGACCCCTGAAGGGAACGTGGTGATGAGCTTCAGTTTCGAGAGCTACCAGCTGGAGGAAGAGGACTGTCAGGGCAAAGACATCTCTGATAAAGGTGTTCTGGCCCTTTCAGAGCCTGGTGAGTCTACACTGCATGTGATTTGTCTCAGTATAACGATACAATATTAACATTTTTGTAATTAGCTGTATGTTGTGAGTTAACCCAAAACTGAAAATTCAGTCATCATTTACTCACCCTTCACTTGTTCCAAACCTGCCTGAGTTTCTGTCTTCTGTTGAACACAGAATAAAATATTTTGAAGAAAGCTGAAAACCGGTAACCATTGACTTCCATAGTATTTATTTTACTTAGTATGGAAGTCAGTGGTTACTGCTTTATTCATTCTTCAAAATATTTCATTTTTTTTGTTCAGGAAAAAACAAACAAACCCATAAATTCTGGAATTATTTAAGGGTGAGTAAAAAGTATATTGTAATTTTTGGGTGAACTATCTCTTTAATGCTGATTTTGGTTTGGCATGAATTGGTTGCAAAGGTGAAATTATTTGGCATGTACTAGCTGGGTCTAATCATGTTATGTGCTGAGTCTGCTGTGTCTTCATGTTGCCTGGTTACAGAGGTCGTGCTTATTACATTAACTGATCTGTGAACTGGTTAATTCTTGATCTCTGGTTCTTTGGAGGTTGATAGATTCTTCTAGCTGAACATGCAGAGTAAAAACATTAGACATTATGCTGTATGTAAAAATAATAATAAAAAAAAATACAAATCTTTTGCATTATACAAAATAAGAAATGCAAACTCAAGAGCCATTTTCAAAATGTACAGGGTGGGCCATTTATATGGATACACCTTAATAAAATGGGAATGATATTAGCGGTGACGCTAATTGGTGATATTAGCGTCCTGTTTGTGGCACATTAGTATATGTTAGGGGGCAAACTTTTCTAGATGGGTGGTGACCATGGTGGCCATTTTGAAGTCGGCCATCTTGGATCCAACTTTTGTTTGTTCAATAGGAAGTGGGTCATTTGACACATCAAACTTCCTACTCTTCACACACTGATAGCAATACCGCAGGAGAAATGCCAACACAAGCTTCCAGGATCCGGAGTTTCAGGTACTGCACATCTTGTATCTTCACACCATAGACAATTGCCTTCAGATGACCCCAAAGATAAAAGTCTAAGGGGGTCAGATCGGGAGACCTTGGGGGCCATTCAACTGACCCACTCCACTTTTTAGGAAACTGTTCATCTAGGAATGCTCGGACCTGACACCATAATGTGGTTGTGCACCATCCTGCTGGAAAAACTCAGGGAACATGCCAGCTTCAGTGCATAAAGAGGGAAACACATCATCATGTAGCAATTTCAAATATCCAGGGGCCTTGAGGTTTCCATTGATGAAGAATGGCCCCACTATCTTTGTTGTCCATGGTGTGGAGATACAAGATGTGCCCCCTCACATATACTAATGTGTCACAAACAGGACATTAATATCACCAACCATTCCCATTTTATTAGGGTGTATCCATATATATTGCCCACCCTGTATGCACAGAAATGCAAGGCATTATCATTGTAACGTACAGCTGATTATATCAAGTGCAACAAGTTCCTGGATCAGTTTTTTTGTTGATCCTGGAACAACATCTCAATCATCCAGTCAGCTTTGAGGGACAGTTTAATTGTTTATGTCTAGGTTAGGCTTATAGGCATAGTTTTTTGTCTTTACATCATTAT